GTGTGTGTGTGTGTGTGTGTGTGTGTGTGTGTGTGTGTGTGTGTGTGTGTGAAAGGTGAACTTACAACAATCAAACGGAAACAGGATCTTTGTTCGGTTTTAGTTTTAATAAGAGTTTTACGGCACTTGCAACACAAATAGGTCATGCAAGAGCCGATGAATAGGAGTGTTAATAGAAGGTAACAAACAAACAAATAAAAAAAAAGACGAAGGAGAGATAATGACGATACATGTTTGATAGGAAAGAAGGAGTTTATTTAGGGGGGGTGGGGGTGTACTATATGGATGGAATGGGTCTTAATATCTCTGTGCACTACTGAGGCATGGTTCTGCGCGGGAGTGGGTGTCTCGGCAACTGGTCAGTTCACTGGACAGCCGAAGACAGAGTCGGCAGCAACTGGTTCTGACGTTAAAGTGAGAGCTTCCAGGTCTACCACTGACAACGTTAGGATGTGGGGTTTTTTTTCATAGCAATGAAGTAGTAGAAACATCTTTTTAATGTATCAAATCAGCCTGCTCACTGTCATCTATATTATAATAAATAAACATTTCTGGTAGCGTTAACCTTTATGTCACTTTTAAAGAAAAAAAGTCAGTACAGTCTTCAGTCCTTCACAATTTTTACAAAGGTAGCATTCAAAATTAATAAAACCATGACCAAGCATTATTTTCATGATTTAGGAACTTAAAAATTTATAACATTGCAGGTTTTCGTTTCTATGGAGAAATCGCTGTATAAAAACATCTTTAACAATTGAACCATTGTTTCCCTATTCCAGTTTTTTTAAAAGCTAGCTTCTGCTGTTCTGTATAGGCCCAAACGCTGCTCAGATAAAAGCAAACGGAAATCTCCAAAGCGTACTTGACTTATTGCTGATATAATGCACCACCTTTTTATCGGGAGACCAGTATTCATAATACCCGATAGCGAAAGATCTTGTAAGCTGATTAGTGTTTAAGCCCTTAATCAACTGCTGCTTGCTTTGTATGCTTCCCAGGAAGCCGATAATATTTCTGAGTGTTCTAAGATATGATAGTGATAGGGTAATAGTACACATTGTAAAGTGAATAGATCTTACTGTTGAGCGAGTATGTGCTCAACACAAATGCTATTCATTATTTGTTTTTCACCAGTTGCTGTCACTACAACTCCACCGCATGAACCGTGCCATGTCGTGGGACCAAGTCATGTTCTCAGAATCTTGTTAACCTTCAAGCAAAGTCTGACTTTGACGTACGTTGTGAAAACGCCAAACACGTTGTGGTCCGATAAAACGTCTGTCTCGTCGAAGAGCGGAAACGCGGATAGAGAGAACGGCATAGAGGAAAAAAACTGATCTTTTACTCATTCCTCATCCTTCCTGTCTTACCTTCCAAACTACTTGTCCAGGTTTCTATGATTTGAGTTGATTAAACCAATGTATTTTGAATGTAGGTGTTTTACTCCTCCAAAGACACAAGTTAGATCGTTTAGGAGGTGGTAGGTGATTCAAAGAACGTTGCACAGTAGGAAGAGTCAACGATTGAAAGTAGGTCAAGATGGCAGCAGAGGACCAATAATGTCTGGTTTGAGGACTCGATTTTCTTCCCTTAAATCAAAAGCCCGATTTTAATTTGAAACCTGTCATGCTCGATAAACAGGAAAAAAACGTTTCCTTAAATGGCGCTATTTAAAAAAAAAGACTGCCAAAGTACTTGAAAAAGGAAGAATTGACAAGTCAAGTCAGTTTTGCGAGAAGTGGCTAACTTGTGAGAGCATAACCCGGCGCTATGAGCTGTGTCGTCACCATGGACTTGAGTTAGAACATCCCGGACCGTGTACTGTGGACGCGCGATTATTGAAGGGCAAAACCACCAACCTCGTTTAGCTGAGTGCACGCGCAACCTTTCCCTCCTTGCTTTCCATTTAATTCCAAACAGAATCAAATGACGTGGTTCATGATGGACCGGAATGACGCCACAGTGCACATCGTCGCTGTCGCAAGCAGTCCACTCAAGTCCAAATTTGGAAAATTCTCGATGTTTACACCCTCTCAAAGCGCCATCAAAGATGAACCTTTCAGCATCACCAAAATGCAGTTTAATGCTATTGTCAAGGCTTACGATTTTCTTGCTTTTTTTTTGTTTCCTGACGGGAACATGACAACAAAATCTAGGGTTTTTTTCCCTCTGACGTAAAATGTAGCCAAATAGACTTAAGTGGATTGCTTGCAACACCGACGACAGTCTAGGATATTCCACTCCAAGTGTATGGTAGCTAGTCTAGTGAGGTGACGGTGACCCATCCGTGCCACCCACTGGGACAGTTGTGCTCATTGCAGGCCCTCGAGTCCTCGCCGTTGCCGTCACAGACGAGTCCGCCGTGCAGAGGTTGCTGGCAGTGTCGCACCCGCGTCTGCACGCCGCCGCCGCACGAGCTGGAGCACCCGCCCCACGCTCGCCAGGACAACCACTCGCCGTCCACTAGTGGAGAGAAGACACACAGCGTAACCCACAGTTAGACACAAGAACGACAGGACTGATTCTCTCCGCTGGTTCGAACTGTTCACGTCCGCTTTGTTTGCCTTGAGCGGGGTCTACAAACTTTTAATGTATAAGAGAGGAACTATTCGCTGCCAAAGGGCTGAGAAGACTATGAGGAACTTTTTGGGCACCAAAGGGCTGAAAGGCCTTTGTGGAACTTGTAGCTACCAAAGGGCTGAGAGGACAAAATTATGGAACTTGCAGCTACATAAGGGCTGAGAAGACTATGTGGAACTTTTGGCTATCAAAAGGCTGAGAGGACTATGTTGAACGTTTCCTTACTAAACGGCTGAGAAGACGATTTTATGGGACTTGTGGAAAAAAAATGGCTGAGTAAACTATGTGGAATCTTTGGCTACCAAACGGCTGAGAGGATTAAGTGGAACTTTTGACTATCAAAAGGCTGAGAGGACTATGTGGAACTTTTGACTTCACAAGGGCTGAGATGATGATAATATATGAAACGTGTGGCTTTTGGCAACAAAGGGGCTGAGAGGATGGTATTATGAAACTTGTGGCTACCAAAGGTCTGAGCCAATTTCTCTTAGTGCTCATTTATATATTATTATTCAACATTTCAGAAAAAAGGGTAGTGCAATTGTGTAACAAGATCCCAGTCTTTTGGAAACAGGGAGTCTGAAGAGTTGGACATTTTTACAACGACAGACGGTCTGGGTCAATTCAAGGCAAACTCTGAACAGCGTGTGAAGAATCCGTCCCATAGTTCACGAATTTAGTAGAATGTTGTGGATGGGGGACGAGGTGGGTGGAGGTGGAGCTAGGGTGGGGGATGGTGATGGAGGGGAGAGGATCTCATGAATCCACCCCATAGTCACGACTTTTATAGAATGAGAAGGGTGGGTGTAAGGGTGGAGGAAGACGAGGGTGGAGAGAGGAATGGAAAGGGGAGGGGATGATAATAATAATTATTATTCGGTCATACAGGAGATGGGATACAGCTGGACAGAGGTGGAGACTAAATCCCAGGATATGACATTTAGAGAGTTCTTTTCGGTGACACGGAGTGAGAAATGATGACGATGATGATGATGCTATAGCTTGTAGTTATTAGATCTTACATTATTTTTAGTATCATTTCCCTGATGAAGCCCTTTACCGGGCGAAACGTTGAACCTGTATAAACTTTGAAAATTCTACCAGTCTCAACCTTTTTTATTCCCTGCTATTTACAATGATGATGATGATGATGATGATGATGATGATGATGATGATGATGATGATGATGATGATGATGATGATGATGATGATGATGATATCACACAGTGTTAAGGTTATGGTTAGGGCTAGAGTTAGGATTTAAGGTTAAAGGGTTAAGGGTTAGGGGTTAGTGGTTAGGGGTAAAGGATATGGGGCTAGGGTTATGCCTAGTGGTTAGAGTTAAGGTTAGAGCTAGTGGTGAAGACCTGGGGCTCTGGTTAGGGTTAGGGTTCGGGTGGGGTTAGGTTAGGGTTAGGGTTAGGATAGGGGTAAGGATTAGTGTTAGGTTAGGAATAGGGGTTAAGGGTTAGTGTTGGGGTTAGAGTTTGAGATAGGGTTTGGGTTTTGGTTAGGGCTTGAGTTATTGTTTCGGTTAGGGTTTGGGTTAGGGTTTGGATTAGGGTTTGGGTTAGGGTTGGGGTTTGGGTTAGGGATTAGACAGGGTTTGGGTTAGTGTTAGTGTTAGGTTAGATTAAGGTTAAAAGTTAAGGGTTGGGGTTAAGGTTGGGGGTATTATTATGGTTAGGGTTACGATTAGGGATTAGGGTTATTGTTTGGTCGGGGTTTGGGTTAATGTTTGGGTTAGGGTTTGGATTAGGGTTTGGGTTAGGTTTATGGTTAGGGATAAGGTTAGGGTTAGTGTTAGGGTTAGGATTTCGGTTAGGGTTAGGGTTTGAGTTAGGGTTAGGGTAAGGTTGGGATTTGGGTTAATGATTAGGCCTAGGTACAGACACATGCTAGTTCTTTTCTTTTCATTTGCTTGATTTATTTTTCCTAGGGAAGAGGGAGGTTCGGCGCTGGGGTAGAAATAATAATAAAAAGGTATGTTGTAAAGGGGAAGGGATGCAGCGTAGTGATGCAGTAATTTGTTTGAATGGGAAGAGGTTGGAAGGGAGGAAGGAGACGTACGAAATATATTTTATTCCAGGAAGAGAGGGGTTCTGAGATGGCATGGGATGTGGAGTTAGGGGTTACGGAATTTTTTGAAATAATTTCAGTGGATTCGGGGTGCAGAGATTAGTTTATTTTGATGGGTTCTGTACTAGTATGAATTTATTTTAGGAAAACGTGTAGGAAAAATGAGAGTTTTATTATGAGGAAAGGGGGGGGGGGTGTCGTTTGAGAAGGGTGTTGCTCCGATGTTTTGATAAGCCCTGTGTCATCTGGACCACACTTGTCCAGTCTGGTAAACGGACTACATATGTAACAAATTCTCGAGATTACCTGGTAGATCGAAGCTGGGGAAACAAAGACAGATGAAATCGAACCTAGTGTAGAGAAACATTGAGCATTATCATCTTCAAAGCAAATAATTCTATAAGGGAAATTTCATAATTATTACTGGAAGAGGTACGAACATTTTATAGGGGAAAAGAAGTACTATCATCTGTTCGATACTTTGTAGTTAACACTGGATTCCTCCAAGCCCGTGACAGAGAATCAAATACTATTGTGGGAGGCTCGTCCTGCCTGTGGTGCCGATGGAACATTTCATGTCATTTCATTCAAGCAAACAGGACAAACGGGGAGTGGGTTGGGGAGGACGTGCGTTATGATGCTCAGGGAAGCATAGAGATGTTGGTCAAAATCTCCATGTCAATGCTAGTACTTACAAAAACCTGCTGCCTGCCAGCATGCCAACCGAAGTGGAAATTCGCCTGCTATCTATCTATCTATCTATCTATCTATCTATCTATCTATCTATCTATCTATCTA